CAATTATTACATCCACATGATTAACAATTATTACATCCACATGATTAACTATTAGTACATCCACATGATTAACTATTAGTACATCCACATGATTAACTATTAGTACATCCACATSGAGGAGTCTCACCTGCGCACATTAATTGTGATGTATAAAAGAAATGTGCGTGGATTCAGGCGTACGCACAGTTTGATACATCTGGACTTTTTGTGCTCACACTGTTTTCTGGATTTGACCTTATGCCACGTTTCAGTAAGAAATCCACGCAAGTCTTTGTACATGGCCCCTGGTCATTTAATTTACACTTTTGTTTTATTTTTGATGATGAACAGATATGTTTGTCTCTTAGTGAATAAAATGGCGTTTATTGACTTGGAACAGTTCTGATCCACAGAACATGAAGCAACAACACAAGTGATATAGTTATATTTCTCCATATTGTCTGTGTTTCAGTGTTCACCGCAGATGTTCAGCAGACTCTGCTGATTAGAGTCGATGCTCCTGAGGGAGGACGGCCCAGTATGGACAAGCAGGTTCCAGAGCCCCTCCACATAAAGGAGGAACAGGAGGAACTCTGGACCAGATTGGAAGGAGAGCAGCTCAGTGTGAAGGAGGAGACTGATGCTACAGAGTTCTCATACACTGCAGTTACTGTGAAGAGTGAGGATGAGGAAGAGAAGCCTCTGTTCTCACAGCTTCATCAGCACCAAATGAACCATAGAGATGTTCCAACCAGCAGCTCAGCTGACCAGATGAAAGTAGAAACTGATGGAGAAGACTGTGGAGGAGCAGAAACCAGCTGTAGCCCAGACCTGAATCCTCATGAAGATGCTTCMAGCTCTTCAGAGACTGAAGTCAGTGAGGATGATGAAGAGGAGGAGGATGGGAACAGTCCTGATTCTCAGCTGGAACMCTTGTCAGACTCTGGATCAGAAACTGAAGACAGTGACAAAGACTGGAAGGAGTCAGGTGTAAACTGTGTCAACAACAGTTTCAACTGCTCTGAGTGTGGAAAACAATTTCTCCACAGCCGGTCTCTTCAGAGACACATGACATGTCATTCAACAGTAAGACCTTCAAACTGTTTGAGTCATAAGAAAAGTGTCAGAACGAAGAGAGAAATCCAGACAGAACCCAAATCATTTAGTTGTGATGAATGTGGTAAAAAATTTACCAGTGAATCAAGATTAATATCACACATGAGAGTCCACACGGGACAGAAACCATTTAAATGTGAAGTCTGTGGATATAGATTTAGAGATAAGGCTCATTTAAATAGACACATGAGGGTCCACACAGGACAGAAACCATTTAAATGTGAGGTCTGTGGATATAGATTTAGAGATAAGGCTCATTTAAAGAGACACATGAGAGTCCACACAGGACTGAAACCGTTTGAATGTGAGGACTGTGGACATAGATTTAGCCTTAAAGGTAATTTAATCACACACATGAGAGTTCACACAGGACAGAAACTGTTTGAATGTAAGGATTGTGGACAAAGATTTACCCATAAGGCTAGTTTAAACTTACACATGATAGTCCACACAGGTCAGAAACCATTTGAATGCGAGGTCTGCAGACAAAGGTTTAGCCTTAAGGGTAACTTAATCACACACATGAGAGTCCACACAGGACAGAAACCGTTTGTATGTGAGGACTGTGGACATAGATTTAGCCATAAGGTTAATTTGAACTCACACATGAGAGTCCACACAGGACAGAAACCATTTGAATGTAAGGACTGTGGACATAGATTTAGCCAAAAGACTAGTTTAAACTCCCACATAAGAGTCCATACAGGACAGAAACCGTTTGAATGTGATGACTGTGGACATAGATTTAGCCATAAGACTAGTTTAAACAGACACATGACAGTCCACACAGGACAGAAACTGTTTGAATGTAAAGTCTGTAGACAAAGATTTAGCCAGAAGACTAATTTAAACTCACACATGAGAGTCCACACAGGACAGAAACCGTTTGAATGTGAGGTCTGTAGACAAACATTTAGCCGTAAGGGTAATTTAATCTCACACATGAGTGTTCACACAGAATAGAATCTGTTTTAATGTAAAGACCCTGTCACACTATGTTTTAGACAACTTGTGCCGAAATCTGCAAATTTTGTCCAACACACTGGCACATGCTGAAGAGGAGAGGAAAAAAAGCATCAATTGGCACCTTCTTTTGGACGTGATCATACCGTGTTGCTAACAACTTGAACAGATATAAAACCCATGACTAAAGTATCCCTACCTTAAATATAACATGTACAAGCTTGATTTGATTTGATTTGATTTATTTATTTATTTAACAGGAAAAGATTATTAAAAATCAAGCCTGACTCAGCATAATTGCCGTTTTACAGCAGGTTCCTGTTCTGCAGCACATAAAACACTCAGAAATACAGCATCACAATCACATCATTATACACCATAGACACAAAGACAAACAAGCATACCATTTGTTAACCAATTAATGTTAAATTTAGGATGCACTAGTCCAGCAGCCGGTGCAGTGGCCCACATTTTGACTAACTGCAATACAGCCCTTCCAATGAATGGAATGACG